CAAGTGGAAACACAAACCTCTCAAGCCTTTCCCTGATGACCAGCGGGTTGCCCAACATGGGACCAGCCTAAATCGACGTCCACTATAGAAGTTCCTTCATGAGGAGGAGGCGAACGAGGGGCAGAAGATGTGGCTGGCAAGGAAGACTCTGGGGTAGCAGTCATGCTTGATGGGGTCACTGGCTGAGGGGTCACCACCGGAGGGATCACTTGATGCGAACACGCCCGAGGCTCCACTGAAGGGGCTGCTTGAGGAAAGTTCACCCTAGGCAACGCCGTTGGAGAAGTCACCTAGGGGACATCGCTCGTCCTTGCCACATTGGAAGGAAGAGGACTCCTACCAGAGAAGTGGGACCCAATCACTTTTCTATCCATCATTGCAAAGAAAATAAAGCGTCAGAAAAGCACCAAGGAAGGTACAAAAAAAAATCAACTCACCCTTCCTCTTCAAAGAAGAGTTTCCGAACTTCAGGGAGGGAGTAATAACCCTAGCACTCTTGGGCTAGAGGACTCCCAAGTCTTTGTCAGGATGAGCCCTCACAGCCTGCAATTTTCACTCTTGGTCTTTGGAGATCACAGACGAATCTGCGAAGAGATGATGGGTACACACATAAAAAAAAAAGAGAGAGAGAAAATGAGTAAGGGTGTACCGAGTTTCCTAGCAAACCCCCATTGTGTTGGTACCACAGCCCTATCGGCTTCTACAACCCACTTTGCACTAACAAATAAGAAATGAGATTTTTAGCTATGGCAGTTGGAGCGTAATCCTGTGAGCATCTTACCCCTTCTCGTGGTAAAATAGTATCACCCTCTATTTGGAGCAGGAGTCTCGCTCAAATTATAAGCTGCATGGAACTCTGTAGGATAAGCATCTTCATGATGCACCTTCCTCCACAATGCAAGAAAGCCCAGCAAGACTCTCTAACCATTAGGCGCCACCCACCCCGGGGTCAATGAAAAGTAATGCAGAATGTGACAAATGGGAGAAGACATAGGAAACCTAAGCCCAGCCTCAAGCATTTCCTCGTAGATGACAATGTCACCAGAGAAGTCATCGCAAGCAGACTCACCCGTCTCAGCCCTGTGGCACAGCATAGTCGGAGGAATATGATAAGTAGAAACAAGTCTCAAAATATCATCATCTGAATTGAGCAAACTAGAAAGGGTACTTACCTTAGACCCGTCATCATCAAATGCCACTTTGCCTTTTGTGTGTTCTTACTATGGGGGCGTGAGGAATGGCCTGAGCCACCATCTAGGAGGTCTTGAGGAATGTGGGTTTAAGAAGGTGCACTCGAAGGAGCTGAACCATCACCACAAGAAGTGTCTGGCGTACTCTATACCTTGATTCCAGGACCAGGCTTGCCAAAAAGTGCCTGGGCCGCCCCGCTTGCATGGGCACGAACTAAACTCCCTAAAAGGGCACCCCAAAGCTCCTTGGTCGTCTGAACTCCTCGAATCATCACCAAAAGTGGCGCCCAAAATTTTCTTGTAGCTTGCACTACTCAACCCACCATCTATAGAGGCGTCTGGCACCCTCTGCTCGCCCAAACGGGGTAGCGCAGAACCTGGAGAGGTGTTTGGCCCCCTCTACTCACACAAACCAGCTGGGGACAGCGCCTAAAGGGGTGTATGGCCTGTTGTACTCGCCCAGATCAACACTTAAAGGGGCGTCCAGGTCCGCTTCCTCATCACTCATGTCTAGCTGTGCACCGACGACCACCTTGGGCATCCCATGTCGCACATCTGCACTAAAGTTGGCGCCCAGATCAGCGTAACCAGCGCTCAAATTAGTGCCCAAACCAGTCTACACATCCCCTAGGCCAAGCCGCCCAGTCCTCTCTAGTTCCTGCTTACACAAGCTGTCCAGGACAACACCTTCGGCTCCCAGGTGGTCCAGATCAGTACTTTCGGCACCCAGGCAGTCCTCTGCATGCTTATTTGAGCGGGACAGCTCGCCAAAGTTGCCCAGACCAGCGCCTGTGGCGCTCACCATCTCCTTCGTGAACTGTTTGCGTGCACCAATGGCAGCGGCGGCCAGCGGGGTTCCCTCCACTCCACATCCTTCGATCTCCATCATTCCGAAGACCATATAGCCACCTGTTTCAGCTCCAACCTCTCCATTCGCCATGGTACCAATGGATTTTTGCACTTCACCTCCCTCAACTTACATTGCCCACTTAGATACTCCACTCAAGAATCTCACCAATACACTCTTGAAAGGCTTCAGGCTTTGCCTCTCTTCTCTCAAGTCTCTATGGAATGGGAAAAGCTTGGGTTCTCAAGGTTCACAAGAATGGGTTTTCAATCTCAAGATGAAAGAGATGGGTAGAATGAGAAGGAAGCTTCTATTTATAGCCTAGGATTTTAAAAGAGAAAAAAGCCCCAATTGAAAATCAAGAGCTCTCTTGAAAAACCAAGTAAAAATGGAAAAGATTTGAGGTGTTCGCCTAGGCGAAAATATATTATGAAAGGGAAGAGTCATCTAGCAGAGGGAGTCTCCATCACTCAAAGCTCAAGATTCAAACTAATGCCCCCTTCTCCAAGTTTCATCAGACACGGGGCATTGGGAGGGTAAATGATGGGTCAAGCCCAAATGACCCAATTCATGTGGAAAGTTCAATCTTAATTAAGAGCCTAGTCTTATATGGACCCACCAAACCCAATATGGTCCAAAACCAGTCAAGCTCATCAGGAAGTTACGTTAGCTTGGCCACGTCATCAAAAGAGCATCCAGGAGTCACACCCTCACCATCTTGGAAATAGTTAACCCTCTCCTCACTTCTGACCAGGTCTTGTGGATAGCACCTCAACCACCTCGCCCGTTGAGGAGAAGTCGTAAGCTCCGCCAGAATTGTTATTTAGTTGCTATTAAGTCGCTCCGATCTATTAGGGGATGACTATAAATTGTAAGCACTGCCAACACTTGAGGAGAATCACACTCTCACCAAAGCACGACTCTCTCCTCTCTCTATCAAAGCTTGTACTCTCTGCTCTCTCAGCATTCCTGAATTAATAAAGTATCCGGCGACCCTAGCCATTTAGAAGTGGACAGAGGTCACATCGACCGAACTACTATAAATCTCGCATTCTCTTTCTACTTTAATTACTGCATTTATTACTCATACTTGACAGGTGGTGTGCAAAATCATTTCGTGAATCATCAAATAGAATTTTAGGTACTAAGTGAAAATTTTAAGCGCGACATTGACAAATTTATTAAACTTATTATAACTATATATACTATTTTATATTTATGTAAATTTTTCAATAAAGAAAGAGGATTTATGCTACTTTATGACTATGTTATTTTTCAATGTGTTGTGAACTTAAAATCATTTGAATGAGAGAGACTAAGAGAATGTGTGTGAGAGAGATGTAGGCAAGATTTGTTTATGTAAATGTATTTTTATATTGGAAAATGGTTAGATTGACAACAAATGAAAAGAGAACGTAAAATTTTGTATCTTTTGGGCACTTATTCCATAATATTATTAAGCCCGAACCCACATTATGAAGACCAAAAATATAATTTGGGGGTCCTAAGCAAGTATTTCACTTGCTTATAGTGTCTGCCAGCCTTGGATGGACCAATTAAATGACTAACATGTGATTATATATTCAATAATTAAGCATGGAGTAAGATGGTAAACCATAGGCCTTATATGTTGAACTCTAAAGTGTTTTTCTTGTAATTCCATCTTAGGTTTGTACTAGGTAGTCCAATAGTTAAATAGGAGGTTAAATAGGAGGCATCACACGCACGTTCTAATTTTGAGGTTTCTTTATTTTAACCAACAGGTGAGATTGGTGGATGATTGAATTCATCCAAAACTCATGTTGCAACTAATAAGTCATAAGAATACGCTGTTAAGATAATTGTTTACCTTCAAACATAACGAACAGACATAAAATTAGATCGATACCTGAAATGACTTTCTCATCTCTAAATCCAAGCTACGTGGAGGTTGGGGGAAGGGTTGTAAAGTAGGCTAGAGTTGCATTTGCTTAAATGTCAAAGTGTATGAATTCTTATCCACTTTACCAACTACTGATTCTAGTATAGGCATGAACTCGTTACTTCAGTTTCGATCTTAATGCTCCAATGACTCCTATTAAGTTCAATAGAAAGAATTCTTTTTATTGGGCTACATATGTGGAAGTCTTTTTTTTAGAGGCAAAGGCCGGTATAATCAGCTAGGCCTAGCTCTTTCAATAGCTCGCACATAATGCATTGATATTGTGTATAATAATCACATAAGATTCACAAATCGCTAAGGATAAAAATGATTCAGAAAGTCTGTTTCGATATCAATCCCTAAAAAACTTTCATAAATGACTGTTTACCACAAAGTCAGAAAAATCAATAAGACTAGCGAAAGGTAAGTTCAAGTATAGTACTCTACTTCGTCTTGATTCTCAATCCCGATATGAAAAATACTAATGAAGAAGGCAACACAATCATACGAATCAAAAAGGCATACCCAAAAAATACCTTCTACGAGATTAGGATTGAAACTACAGACATCACAATTGCAGCAAAGTAGTAAATCCAACGGGTAAGTACAATGAAAAGTTGGATTTGGGCTCAAAAGTTAAATATCTCTAAACTGAAGTTCAACTTGAACCCAAAATTTAACACCACCTCTTCAGCTCTAGTATTATCGAGTTTAAATCTTTTGACTTGGATTGCATAACTCAAACTCAAAATCGGGTATATAAATTTTAATTCTCATGCTTATTTTAATCTTTTTGGATTCTTTGGACCTTTGGACCTTAGATTGGGTCAATTTGATTTACTAAGTTTGATTTACCTTTTAGTTGATTTAGATTCACTTGATTTATTGAATCTGATCCGATTAAATTTGAGCTCTTCAATAAATTTTCTTGAAATAAAATTTAAATCTATAATCAATCGCTTAATGGCCGGCCGCCAAACAATAAATTTAAGAAAATTGACTTTAGTTGTGATTGAACAAAAATGAATTCGTCACCCTTTTTGGCATTGGCGAAGAGGGAAAAAAAAAAAGGTTAGGATAGCAAGCCCCTCCCAGGATTCTAGGTATAATTGGTCTAATTTCTAGGTTCAGAACGTACAAATCATACTAGAGTATTATAGATTAGACCCTTTTGATCTCCTGTGGTAGCCTTGGACTGACCGTTGCCATGGCACATTACATCCGACGATTAGCAGCAATTACCAATCTCATCTCTATGAAGTCGCATGTGCAAGAGTCCCTTGCTTTGTTCACAACAAGACTTTTATCAAACAGTTGTAGTCGTTACCATTGTTCCTCTTGTTCGTCTGACCAGAATGGTTCTGGGTTTGTCTCTATTAAGCCCGGTGGGTGCTCACTTGCAAACTCGTTTCCACCATCTTCTGCTTTTCATCTGGCGGTTTAATTTTATGCACTTGACTAGTGTATATGATTGCGTTGAATCTGTTTGATGAAATGTCTCGTTCACTTACTGTTATTGACATTTCCTTTCGATTTTTAAGATTTCTAGTTTTTTAACCGCTGTATGAAAAGATACACACCCAGATCACTTCTAGTTCTGGGCATACAGAGTTTAATTGTTTTTATGATGTTGTACAATGCATGCAATCTAGAGACTCTATGTAGTTTGACTGCACTATTTGTTAAACCTCTCGTGAGCAACGCAATGGGTTTATATGTTGTTTCAAGCTTTCATTTGGAGTTTGTGCAGTTCAAACTTATGTAAAAAGTTTCACTTGTACATGCTTTCAATTCAAGATTAGAGGATGATGCTGGAATCGTTCATCAAGAATTTCAGAAATGGAATAATGGAGGTGGTACTTTCCACAAGTCAGCTTGCGTTGATCCAACAGTTCACATAGAATTTGGCGCAGTAGTCCATTCAGAATCTGTGCTGGGTGCAAATGTTCATGTTGGATCAGGAGCTATAATTGGACCTGCTGTCACAATTGGTCAATCAACGAGAATAGGGTATACTCGTCTGCAGATATATATTTTGCGTTTGTCTAATGCATTTTAGCAATTATCTGTTGTCAGCAATCTCAAGCTTAGTCATGCTACAGTTTATGGGATGTTTTCAAGTTGTAAAGGCGTACATAATTACATAAATGCATTATGTAAATACCTCTTAAATAGTACTGGTTCCAGTGCTAAAATGCTCAATTGAATGCCTATATTTTTTCCAGGTACAATGTTGTGCTTAGTAATTGCACAATTGGTGATTCATGCGTATTCCACAATGGGGTGTGCATAGGTCAAGATGGTAATGCTGAATTATATTGGTTAATATTTATCATGATGACTGAAGCATTGCCTAAGCATTAGTTTTTGGGGTTGTACATCATTCATTTGGGTACAAATCTTGCACTGACACTAAAAAACTACATTGTAAACGTGTTGTATTTTTTGAATTATCATGATACATGTTTTAAATTGCAATTGCAGATGTTTGTGGATGAACATGATACACGCTGCCACTGCTAATGTAATTGCCACTAGTATTGCATTATTAATTTTTGCATTTGGTATTCATGTTGTTTCGTTATAGGATTTGGGTTTTTTGTGGATGAATGTGGAGACATGGTGAAGAAGCCTCAGGTTAGTGATATTTAAATTTGTTCCTTAATACACTTTGGGCCCTTCCTTTTTGGAAATGAAGGGTTTATTTTTTGCGGTCTACTATAAACAGAAATTTTCTGGTATTTGAAATTTGCAATACTTCTGTTCTCTAAAATGCACAAAAAATTGTCTGGTCTGATATTTCATGTACATCAAAAAACCATAGCTTCAAATGTAATGATTTTCCCAATTTAAATACCTATATATATATATATATATATATATATATATAATGAAACAATGGTTCACTAGGAAGTTGCTTGGTATGGAAAATTCTACTTCTCTTTCTTTTCTCCTTTAGCTGCATCAAATATCCAGTTCAGTTTGATGTTTCAGTTGAAGTATCATTTTATTTTTTTGTACTTTTACTCCTTCCTCCCCATCCCCAACAAACAATTCCAGATCTTGAAAGCAAGGGTAGGGAATCATGTGGAGATAGGTGCAAATACATGCATGGACAGGGGCAGGTGAGATCTGTGTTGTTGCCTACGAGAACTTTATGGTTTTTGTGTATCCTCTGAATCATCATGCACTTTCTGGCTCTCCTAAGCTCAAATTTTAGTTATACTGAATATTTGGTTATGCAGTTGGAGAGATACTGTAGTTGGGGATTATACGAAAATAGATAATCTAGTTCAGGTGTGTTCTGACTTTCGTGCATTGTTGGTTAACTCGTTCCTTGATTTATAACTGCCAATATCCTACTTTGCAGATAGGTCACAATGTAGTGATTGGGAAGAGTTGTATGCTCTGTGGACAAGTTGGGATTGCAGGTTCAGTGACGTATGTTCTTTTCACATCTGTTATCACCATGAAATTTACCATTCATCTCAGTAACTTTCAGGTGTAGAATTTGATTAGCTTTCCATGTATATGGAACATGGAACATACTTATTTTAGGATAGGTGACTATGTGACTTTAGGCGGAAGAGTGGCAGTTCGTGATCATGTCTCCATTGTATCAAAGGTACATACTTAATTGCTTGAATATGTCATGCACCTTGTGACTTTATTCCAATATGCATATAGATCTAAAGATTATCTTATAAGTGATTTTGGATTTTCTTATGGATGCCTGAACCTAATATCTTGGAACTAGTTATTGGAATAGTGCAACCAGTACAGGGATAGTTTGGATTGCCCCATGACTAAAATAAGGCATCATTGTGTCAAGTTTAGTTTTTATACATAGTTTGATTCTCAACTTCTAGCTGTCAGGCCAAACTAAAAATGTGCCCCAGCCTGAGTAGTTCATTTTCGAGCGATAAGCACAGACTCAAATAATAATGATCAATTTAAACTGAAAAATAGTTCCTTAGGGTAGTAGGCATAAACCTTTAAAAATTATGAGTCATGTTTTAATGTGGAAGACTCTTCATGCGTTTTGCACACTATGTGTTCTTTCGGGTCTCTTCTAAATTGGAGGAAGTACAATGAGGTAATATGCCTGTTGAGTCACATTATTTGCGTTAGTGTTTGGCTGGAACATCTTGACAGCATGATTTTGAAGCATTTAGGTTAGTTTTTGGGACTCAGCAGCCTGAAGCAGAAACCCACAAATTGTTAATTTCATTCACTAAGAGGATGTACCGAGCCATAAGTCATTCACCTTTTTTATGCTAGCCAACTCTTAATGTGGCTGCATGCTGGCTTATCCCTTTGTTGAGAATGAACAAGGACTTAAAATTAAATATGGATAGCTCCATTGTAGACCCTGCGTTAATTTTTTTTTATTTTTACTTATAAAATTTTAGTGTTCATGATCAACATAGTTTTCGGCTTTTGGGAGCTGCAGGTCCGACTAGCAGCTAACAGTAGTGTCACGAAGGACATCAGTGAACCTGGGGATTATGGTGGCTTTCCTGCTGTAAGGATGTTGTTATGTTCTTCAATTTTCACTTGATGTTGTGTTATACGGATTAATAAACCCGTTAGCCAGAAGTTTTAGTTGTCTGACCCCTTTGGTCTAATATCGGATTACTTCACGCAAACATTTTTGTCGTATTTTTAATAGGTTCCAATTCGGGAATGGCGAAGACAAGTTGCTACTCACCGCAGGGCATTGAAATAAGAAACTCCTTTGTATTTTAGAAAGATAAAGTCAGCTGTACAATTTGTTTATTCTGGTATTCTGAGGTTCTAGGTTGGGTCCCACTGCACTGAAGAAGGCAAGAAGTTGATTGAATTAAAGTTTATGCATCTGTAGACCATTAAGCAGTGTAACATGCTTATTCAGTTACTGGGCCAGATATTTCCTCTTATTGTTTGATGCACCTAGGGAATGCATATCAACTTATCAGCATTTTGTTTGCCAATCTTCATGTAGTCTCTGTTCTATAGAAGTGTTTGCCTGCAATATTTATGAGACCCCTCAGGATATGGTCTATTAGTGTGGTTGTTGGTATCAATCTATTAAGAGGTGGTCATTGACATTTGGCCTTTCATTTTGGTTAGGTGAGCTTTCTTATGGTATCTTCCTTGTGTCAAGTCCCATATTAACCGAAGTTTTTACAAATTTATTTGCTCTGCGACGTTTTGATGGAGATACCATAGGGATATGAAATCAGGATAGTAGTTGTTAATTATCGGCATGATTCATAATCACAAACTGGTATCTGATGTTTTTATAGACATTGATTCTAGCAGAAATATAAACATAAAAAAATGCATACACATACATTATAGCCATGGTACTACTTTAAAGCTGTGCATCCCAAAGGTTAAGTAAGCCTCACTCTCCATTTCTTAGAAGCATTGCGTAATTTTATCTTCTTCTTCTTACCTGAAATCTTCCCATCTGATCCAATCGGTACACGACCTTGCAAGTTCATCCCATGGTGCTTACTCTTAATACCCCATGTTCGATATCTAATTTTGGTCATCAAACCAACCTTCAAATCTCCTGTTTTATTTGATATTGCATTGACCAGTGCTTTCCATACTCTTGCATTGGCATTCACATGATCCATAATTTGGGTGGTCTTATCTTTTCCTTGATGAAAATGAGTGATGGTTTTCTCCCCAATAGTGTCCTGATTATAATAAAACAGCAAGAAGATATCATTGTAATTGATATCGGAGTCTCTGTTTGGATTTACAATCTCAAGGGTGTATGAGAGGGAACCATTCTGATTGTCTTGGCCAGAGCCGTTATCAGGGACTGGGACAGAGAAGTCAACAATGGTGTAAGATGGGTCTTTGGGGCGCAAGGTTAGCCAAAGGATGAAGGCGAGAAGGCCTAATAGAGCAACAAATTGGAGGAGCCAGAGTAAAAAGTTTTTGGTTTCACACATTGTCTATTGTGGAAAGTGGGAGACAAGATTTTGGACAGCAATCACCACATTTTGCAGTAACATTAGGTATGAGATCGAACAAGAATTAGGAAATTTTTGAAACTTTCGGGTGAAGGATGGAAACTGAGAGGAAACATGTGGGCATGGTGTTTGTCAAAATTCCTCTTAGAGTTTATGCCAATTTATACTTTTCTTCATTTGCTGTCAACTTGCCTTTTGTAAAGTAATGGCCTAATGGGTTTCCAAGTCGCAAAGAATAAATGTTATGAGACTTATTTTTCTTCATTCTGAAGAGCCAGCAGTTCCAGTTAGCCCAGTTATCACTACTTTGAGGGTGGCAGCACCATGGAAGAGCAAAATGTTGCTATCAATCTGTTGGGTAGTTCGAGTGAGAAGGTTTTGTAAGTTGTTGACATGATATCGCAATTTTGAGTCTCACAAGAGAATTTTGAATTTCTTGATGCACCTGATTTATGGGAGTTGTAAGCGTTCTTAGTTTATGCTGTAGTAAGACGTCGAGTCGAGTTTAAGACTGTTATCGATCTACTCAGATTAGTCCTGTGGATCGCCTGACACCTTCTACATAGCCTTGTGATGAGCACACTCAAATCTACTTATGAAACTCAAACTGGTTTAAACCACTATACTTCACCCCGTACGCTTGATGGATCTCTGCCCATTCGTTGTTGTAAGAACAGGATGCAATCTGCCAAATCCATTAGACAGGATAACGAGTGCTCATCCGTTCTAGTAATACGTCGCATCAATACTTATGTCTCTCATACCCTGAAATATCTATCCAAAGTTTTTTTTCATTCAATTGAACTTATAGCCTCGGACGGTTAGGGTAGTTACCTAGTGTCTAGTAATACGTCGCATCAATACTTATGTCTCTCATACCTTGAAATATCTATCCAAAGTTTTTTTTCATTCAATTGAACTTATAGCCTCGGACGGTTAGGGTAGTTACCTAGTGTCTGACTCTTACGAGTTTTTATAACAAATAGGGGGAATAAGTGTACCTTGATTATATTCCACGAGTCATTCAGGTATATCTTTCTTTTTATTTTCTTTAAGGAGTTTAAAAAAGTTGATATATATATATATATATATATATATATATATATATATATATATATATATATATATCTATGTCGATGTACTCGAACAGATAAGTTGATAAGATGAAAGGACTAAAGTTGCCTATTAATTGCTAAGAACAACTGGCGGACAAAAGGTTTATTGGGCATGTGGAGATAATGAACACTCGCATCAACCATCAACCAAAATGATGGTCTTCAAACTAGGTTCTTGTGTGTACTGCAAGGACAAGTGATGAAGGTATTTATAGCACAATACTTGGACAAGCGAGGCTATCCACGCCTACTTTGTATTAGGGTCAACGTTATACTGACAGTTGTGCCTACAACAATTGCCTCAACTACTGTGATACCGGTGATCGTTTATCACGTGTCACATGTGTTTCAAACAGTAATTAGACAGATGTGACATTTCCTTGAATACACCTAGACTCGATCATCAAGGAAGGGCGCAACCTTTGAGCTAAGGGGGGACACTCGAGGCAAAGGGTTGCAATTGGCCACTGGGGGAGAGTCATATCTCTAGTGCCCCCAGTGCATGCATACCCAGGGTTCCCTCTTTCCTCTTTGAATCCTTTCCAAGGCTTTTGTTAAGATGCCCAAACAAGGAGACTTACATAATTTCGGTCATTTAGTCACCAAATCATATGTCTCATTGTCCCATATGTTAATCTGGGTCATTAACTCTTGGTACCTTAGGAGCTCTTCAAGATTCTAGTCAAGCACAACTCAGTGGACAAAGAGTCATATATTAGGAGGCTTACTCGAGCAAACTAAATCTTTAAGACCCTACCCGAAATCTAAGTTAACAATCATGCTTGTCCGTCCCCGTTGCTCAGACCTCCCTCGAGGAGGGTCATATTACCCAGTCCCCAAGTGGGGACTCCTCATAGTCCTTTGAGCCAGTCAAACAACAATATATCATTAGTTAATTTCACTGTGATGAGCATCCAATGGGTTCTAATTTCTGTCTAAGGCTCCCAATCCGAGGGTACCATTCGAGGATAGGCTGGGGATTTAAACTCTGCTAGCTATGAGATCTCAATTTTGTGCCTTATTTCTACCGTAGGGGAGGCGGGTCATCGCGGAAGTTGCCCTACACTTCTGCAGTGACACTCTTGTCCCTTCTTGAATAAGGATCCGTCGTTGTGACGTGATATGTCTTGCCTTTCCATATTGCTTGGTGCTTGTACCAATCCGCAAGACCTTGCTGGTCCCCCACTATGCCACGTCGGGGGGTGACCCCCTTTAGGCTTATCATTTGTCTTACTGTAGTGAGGATACGTGTCCTAAACGTATTGGGTATTACAAACTCTATGTTTGGGTGAGAAATCCTAAGAAAGCTAATGAAAATTCAAGTTTTATGGTTTTTTGGGTGGAGTTCTGCAAGTCCCAAAAATTGTGAAACACCGCAAGTAACTTTCGTGCTGAGACATTTGCCTACAACTGACAGAAATGTTTAGTTTAAAGGGAACAAGAAAATGTTATTACCAATAATTTAAACCCAACCAATAGAATTTTTTTTTAGCAACACAACCCATTGAAATCCAATATAACTATAACAAATAGGTTAAGGCCTACGTTGCTTCAGGTAGCTCGTCCAAAAACAATGGGAATTGTTGATTTTGAATTGAATAATTTATAATTATTGATTGAAAAAAATAATAAAATAATAAAGGAAAAAATACACACCTAACACGTGTTTATTAGTCAAAAAATATAGATACGATACTGAAAAGTCTATTTTAAATAAATATCACTTTTCGTAACAAATGAATTCTAAACATATGACCAAATTCTCTTTTGAATTAAAGTAATGCTTAATTAAGGACCTAATTAGAGACATTAATTTAATTTCGTCATTAAATTAGTTGTGAATTTTCATGTAAGATGACTAAATATCAATTGAAGGATGGGAGACTTGAGGGGGAACATGTAAGCAAGTTGTTTGTCAAAATTCCTCTTAGAGCTTATGTCAAGCTATGCTTTTCTTCATTGGTGTCCACCTGCTTTTTGTAAAATGCTATGGCAAGTGCTCATACGCCCAAGTAACACATCATGAGTTTGAATTTGAGAATCAATCTTTTTAAAATAAAGGTGAAATTGTTTACTATTTACTTCTCTCAAACCCCGCTATATGCAGGAGCCTTGTGCATGGTGGACGTAATTTCTTTCCAAAGTTGTTATATTCCATGGAACTTGCAGCCGGGAATGTGAGAGGGATAGTTACCTAGTTCCTCGGATTACGAGAATATATCTTTAAGAGTAAATAACATTTTTCCTAGAGTGTCATATTTTGGGCATGTCTTAATCTATGTCGTATATCTAAATTTGGTCAATTGGACCATTTTTTACCTATGGGAAACAAAGTTTTGGCGTATTTGTAATAGCTATTTGATTAATTGTAGTGACAGCAAGATTTCTAGTTAATTACAGAGAAGTTGCTCCCTTGAATAAGCCATTGATGAACTATGTATGGATTCTCAAGCAAACAATTGTTGTAATGTTTACTATTTCTATTGGATCTTGTTGATACCAGAAAAAACATAGTTCAGGTAAGAAGATAGTTCAGCTTATGCCAAGCAAGTCGGCACTAACTAACTAGTCAGGTAGTATGACTCCAGAAAACGACAAACATTATAAAAGACACCAGAAGAGGTGAAAGAGAACTTTCTTCATGAAACCTTACCTTGGGAAAGAATTCACCACCTCTCAAAAGCCATGTCATCACTTCTAGAAGGTTACGTCATGCCTGTGGACAAGAGTCTTAAGTAGCCAAATATTTCATGATCAATCTATTACGATAACGATAATTACTTGTATATAAAGGTTAGTCTAAACGTTGCCTTAAGGGGATTTCCCCAAAAGTAGGCAGATTGAGAGAAAACCATTACACGGATATCCCCAATGTGCAATACGCTCATTGTACTTATCTTCTTCTTCAAGAAATACATCGCCAAGAAACAAGAGCCCTCCATTAGAGGGGACTAACCCAGTTCTCCATCTGGGCGAACCACTAAAAATTCTTATATCTTCTTTACTTGCTTTAACACACACACCCCTTAGTTCATCCACCTTACGCTTCTCGATTTTTCACTCAATCACATCTAATTTATTGATTTAAGTCATTATAATCATTTGATTGGAAATGAACCTTAATATGTACTTGGATCCACTGCCAATTCAATCGCATTGAGTGATTAAACTAATAAATTAAGTCAAAGAAGAATTGCTCTTACTATTTGGTAGTTATCTGTATACAATCAAATGCCTACCACTTTGGCCAAGTGGAGGATAAGGAAGAAAAAGAATTGAGTGAAGGTCCAATTCTCTACTACTTCACAACCATGGCAAGCCCAGGGCCACACACTCTTATCTGTAAATTTGGTTGCATATACTAAAGTCTTCTTCGGATGTATGCCCCAAGTACTTGCCAGAATTGAAATATTTTTCACTCGACTTCCAACTGCCTGATTCGTTATAGTATGCAGTGCCTTGTGGATTTTGGCTAATACCTGTATGAAGAGTATCTTAAAGGATTTTCAAAATAAAATTTTTTTGTGGGTGGGTGTTTTGTTAAAAACTCGTGTTTTGAGAAGGTGACAGGATGTTTTTGATACTAATCCCACATTAGAAGAATGAAAAAAGATTTGTAGGTATGTAAAGGATAGTGGAGTGAGTGCGAGTACATTTACTTTAGTACAAAGGCTCCATTATGCACCATGGGTGAACCCATGCATGTAGGACATGGGCGATGAGGCGCTTTGATGGCGCACTTTGCATGTGGGCACGATGGCGCAGGTATGCGAGTACGAATCAAGTCGATCAAGTGAGCAAGTGTCAATGGATGCGTTGATCGAGGGCGTTCAAATTAACAGAAATTTGAATCAAGCACCCATT